AAGAAACAAATGTTTTGATTGTGGAAAAAGAAACAAAAAAAACTACTGCAGAAATTTATGACTTCCCAGACTCGATTAGACTCAGAGAAAATTTACTTAAGTACGAGTAAACATAAACAAGCATATATGATACAAAATTAATACGAAAAAAAAAACGCTGATTCATTATACACAGAAAATAGATTTGTACTGGCTACGAAGAGCGTTACAACGCATAACTCATGGATGAAGGGAAAAGACAGGTACAGAAAAATGGGACCAGCAAATCCAGCAACATAGAATTTCTCTTTATTCAGTATCTCACGTATAAAGATGTGAAGAGAAGTGAGAATATTTTACATACTCAATATATTCTTTTAAATCTTCACAAATCACCAAAAATTATTTTAAAAAACCAAAAGACTTATTTAAATAACGAGCATATGACTTTTTAAAGGCTTTAATTATGCTTTTGGTGCTAATTAATTATTTAAAGTTGGATTGTGGGCGACCAAGTTCGATAATACTGAAGAAACGAATCTTGGCTCGCCCACAAAATGCTTCCATGACGCTCTCATTTAAAAATTATGAATAATTCGTGTAGATATAAAATTAGATGTGTAAATCAGATGGGAAACATGCTTTTTATTTGTAATAAACCATATGAAACAGTTCTCTCACTAATTTTCCATTATTTTTAAAACAAATATTGTCCGGTCCATCTAAAATCAAGATCTAAATATTGCGCCACGATTTTTAACCCCTCTAGCCACAATTCATTTCTACTGGGGCTATGACGCCTTTGCTAATTATTTATCTATTATAATTTTGAAATGAGTTATTTAGATGATCTTTGAATAAGATATGTTTTAATTTTACTGTTATGAAGACTTTTACCGGGTATTATCATAAAAAATCGTACTATCATCACCCCAATCACAATGTTAAATTCCTTGACAAGGCAGCTTATAATTTATACTGAAGATTTATATTTCCACGTGCAAATAGCTGGGACATTGTTCCAATAGTTTAATATACTAAAACTACTAGGGCGGATACTGAACTAAATAAATAGTCAAATATTGGGTTACCTTTTGAAAGGCCACGTAGCTTAGAAGAAGATTTATCGCAACAGATATCGATTTCTTTAAAAAATTATCAAAAATTTCAAAATTATCAAAAAAATTAAAATAAGTTTAAAAAAGTTGATTTTTTCAATAATTTTAAATATATCACTTTTAGTTCAAATTGCTGTTACAAAAAATACTGTTGCGCCTTTTGTTTAAAAGTCAATTTTATAATATGAACGTTAAATAGTGTATTATTAGTTCGATAATCATAAATAATAATTCAAATGAACTTACTACTGCAAATGATGATCTAGTATATAATTTTGTTCATAATAAATAGCATTCTGGTGAGCTGGCAAAATCTTCAATTTGAATCAGAAAAGTTTAGCTTGGTGTGGGATATTCATTAATGATACATCTTCAAGAGTATTGACATTTTTATCAGAATTTCTATTAAAATGTTGAACAAATAAAACGCAAAGATCATGGATTTTAATATAATGTTTTTGTATGGAACTTTTAAAGTTAATTTTAATATTATTGATTCCATTAAGAGTTAAAACCGTTTGAAAAAAAAATACAATTCTCTACTAATATGAAAATATTGCCATTTTCAAATATGGTGTTAAAATATGGAGCAAGCCATTTAGCGAACATTAGGTCTTATAGTCTTCATAAAACACCATACTTCTTTTGCATCTAATTTTTGCCTTACGAATATATTGTACTAACCACCTTGTCCGGATATTAACCCTTTCCACTTGCGAATTCTGGAATTTTTATGTATTTTGCCGCCGGAGCGGCTGCATCCGAGTCGAAAGGGTTAATAATTATTACAGAATTAATTATTATATTGCTCGTTATCTGCTAGCGAACGATTTTTTTAAAATATTCCAAACATTTTATTTCTTGGACATATCTGTTCAAGGAACAATAAGCAAATTTGTTGATGTAGCAGGGATATAATATCAAACGCTAGTTCAGACGATAGCAAATGTAAAAAAAAATTTTCCAAATACACAACATTTTTAGTACGCTAGTAATATCACGTGATATTTGAACGATAAATTCATGCTTGCATGATATACACATTCTCACATATGCTTTAAAATGTTATCCAATGTTGAATTAGGATTCGTTTGTAAACCCCGGAACACGCTGTTGCATAAAACAAATATCGCGTATTATATAGATGTTGAGCAAAGTAAAATCTTAATCTAGCAGCAGGTATACAAATTTGCATACAGCCCTCCTTCCTTCCCATAAATACAACGGCGAACACTTTGTTGTGCAGGGCGATGTCGACCGCCCCACCGTGAGTGCAAACCGACCACGTCGCATAAGTAGACAGAAGAGTGTCATTGGGGAGGTTAATAGATTCAGAATGTACTGATCTCTCAGAGATAACCCCCATGTCGAGATGGATTCTCGCAAACAAAGACATATGGGTATGTCCATGGACGGATTTACATCATATTACACAGACTAAGGGAGGATTTCAAGGAATTCTTGAACTGCATGCATAGCGTTCTGTCTCAACTTAACCTTTTCCATCCAGAAAGGCTTTGCGCGGGAGCTTATGATGCATTCGTCGCTTTTTCGAAAGTGATATATAAAGACTAATGCTTTGTTTGTATTTCACGACTACGAGTCTCTACCATCTTATTTGCTATAACGATACCAGCAAAAAATAACTAGTAGTGCATGGTATCGTGCCTTAAGGCAAATTACTGAAACGTCCCGTACCAGAATTATATATTTGAGGAGAAAAATCAATAATAAATAATTATCAATGATTAATAACAATAGTTTTAAACATTTCTAGATACATAATTATAATTACTCTATATTATATCGTTCATATAATATACACTATTCACTATATACAGTGACGATCTTATTGCTCAAAACATTTAAGAATGTTTACATTAACAAGAGCTGTCGAATGAATCCGCCTGAGAATACATTTTTTATTGTAACACATATGAAATATAAACACTTTTAAACTGGATTGTAAATTTAAAAATTATATTTAAAGTATAAAACTTTGTATATTTTTAAAAAAATTGAAAAAAAGATCTATTAAAATTAAAATTAAAATAAATACAGGAGTCTCTTCAAGTAAAACAAATATAAATACAGTTAACAGTAACTGACTTGACCCCAATTCGTGAAGACTTAAATTTGCTATAAAACAATTATTTATTTTTATTATTTACTGGTACTACTTTATTTATTTGAAGACTTGTACTATTTGAGCAGTATGATGACCGAGTAGCATAAATATAGTGTCAAAACATGGTAATAAATAATATAATTTAATAATTACTACTACTTTATTTATTTGAAGACTTGTACTATTTGAGCAGTATGATGAACGGGTAGCATAAATATAGTGTTAAAACATGGTAATAAATAATATAATTTGATAATTTTTAAGGAATTAATCAACTATCAAAATATCCGTATTTTTTCTATTTTATATAGTTAAAAGTAACGACTTGGAAGAAATATTTAATTCTTTTAAGTCTAACTTTTAAATATCCAAACCTTGTTTATTTCTGTAAAAAATACTTTTTAATTATTCATTTTTTATATATACAAAGTGTTGCATATAAAAAGTTTCAAACTATTTACGAAACAATTCAAATATAATAACGAAAACCCGAATAATTATCATACTGCATTATCGAGTTATATACGGTATTTATGCAAATAGCTATTTAAAATATTTTATTCCAACTTTATGCAAAAAAGAGCAATTATATAAAGAGGAGATCGGGAAAAATAAATATATTCCCTTCTTATAAATATATCCCATTCCACCTGTTAGAGAAGGCTAACTTGGCAGATTATTTTTAGGAGAATTGTCTGATAGTGTAAAATTTTACTCAAAAATGATACCATATAACTAATAGATATTATTATATAGATTTTACATAAATCTACCATGAAAAATTTAGTTGAGTCAGTAGTAAGTCTAACAATTGCAAAGTCTCAGACAGATTAGAATCAATTTTCAGACAACCTAATATGAAGTGTTCTTGTGATATCAGTATTTGTAAATAAAAATGAGATACAGCTGCAATATATCACTATAAGAAATAAAATATATAATAGAGTTCTCATCATAGGAAAAATTTACAACTACTGGGTTGCCTTCTAATAGTTCGTGCTTATAAGAAATTTCATTACAATATTACGTACTAAGAATAGTTTTTATTGCTGGTGAAAAGCAATAATTAAAACGTAAATTCAATTTCAACGTTAATAACGGTTCAATATAAATACATGTCACTCATTTATTCTATACTTACATTTGAAGTATATGTTTTAAGACTTAATGTCTTAATTTAATTTACTTAGGTTTGTATACCACACTTTCTTGCAAGTACAACTACTACTATAAATAAATATTCTACTTTTAAATTTTCAAATATAATTTACTATTTTTGCTTTTCACGTTTTCTTTTAACATGGTTCTAATAATGAAATCTCGCAAATTTAATCAAAATTATTGTGGTATATAGTAAACAAGATCCAGTCTCCTGTAAATAATATTGCACACATTTCAGTCTATCTATAAAATTGTACACACACGTATTATATATATATGGATTTTATTACATATATACATTTACATTATATATACATTTTTATTTTTATTTCATGACCAACGTAAACAAGTTAATTAATTAAAAGAATATTACATTAAAATTATTCCGGCGCGCATAACTAGCAGTATTTGTCGGAATTTCGACCGAAATGAATGCACGTTGCATAGTTTCAGTTTTGTTGCGGGTTTTGGGGCGAAGGCTGTAAACTTTATGCGTCTCATTAAAACTAGTACATTGCTAATTATTAATCAGTAGGATTCGTTATATGAAGCTTATGAATAGAGAACAACAGAAACGCTGTTTGTAATTAACAATCCATGTTTTTGTTTGACAGAAGTTCAACCAGCGGTCGTATGGTGGCACTTGCAGGCGGCGCACTGCTCATTGTTGGAAGCTTCAAGAGACGCATACCCGATCCAGATTTTAAGGTAAAAACTTAGAATATGATTTATTAAGAAGCGACAGATCATTGTTTTTCAAAGTTTTACTAAGATATAATTGTTGATCAATTGTATGTCAAATGCATATGAAGAATATGGAACAGGGAAGTGCCAAACATGATGAACACAGAACTTTCCATAGATTACAAAAATAAGTTTTCTGTATTGGATGTGCGCTATAAGTCCCCTAATATGTTTTTTACTTCTGAACACAAATGTAGGGTCAAATAGCAAAATTTAAAAAAACTAAAGTATAAAGTATATTGATACAAATATGCCCAACAATACAAAATCTATCTATCTTTATCTGTGTGATAAAGATCTTACAATTTCTGTCATTTTCTAATCCTTTAATCCTTAAATGACCTGTGGAACGGATTTCTGCTTATCAACTTGACATATCATAATATATTTTGTTGTTTTGTTATATTTTATTTACGTTCAATTTTAATAGCAGAGCAATCTCGAACAAAAACATCTGAACACAATATCATTCGCTACCCAAGTTTCAAAATTTATAGTATTATAACTTTAGTAAAAATTAATTTCTTGTCTCGTGAAATAAATTAAGCTATGACCAACGCAACAACAAATAAGGTATGTTTTCTGAAAATTTTGCAAAAATCACATCAAGGTGAAAGCTTATAACAATCTAAAGTCAATGGTATTTTATATTTTTTCCTCACAATATTAGTTTAACTTTCAAATGTTAAGAAATCTACATAATTACAGCTTCACAGCTATGTTATATATGAGTTATACAATTATTGCATTTTTTCAACATAATTTTCAATGATTATTTTCAAATTTCTCAGTAAATTCTCTTAAAATACTTATAAGAACGTGGAATGCAACTACTTACATTTGTAGAGATTTTGGTCGTTTATATCTTATGTTGTATGTGATTCATTCGTAAAATGTCTATAAAGGCAAATTAATTGATTTTGTATATAAAAGAGCTAATGAACTAAGGATTCGTTTTCTGATAAGAAAATTCTTTCCCAGGGAGATTTTTTGTGTATGTCATAATTGCAACACTAGCAGTATTCGGAGATAATGTAATTCAAATCTTCGGAACAATTGGAGATGCACCAGTAGCAGTAGTGCATTTTATATATGGACATACACGGTGCACAGACCGATGATTAGATTCCTGAAATTTACTGATCCATAGGAAACACCAGCATTCACTATCTATCGAGTAATAGGGTCAATTGTTATCGTTAGCACTTTGTACATCAAGAACATGATATATAGAGCATCTGAACCAGTCGTTATAATACTCGTTGATAGCAACTGATGCTCCAGTTTTTGCTCAGTTTGCGTCATATCATCAGCCAGCAACGCTCTCCTTTCTATATCTTGAGGAATATATTGCATATGTTTACGAAACATTACATGCGAGGAAAGTATATCTAGAGTAGCCTTTTGGAGGAGGATCGTCGACTGGGTTTGCGCATTTCCAGGTTGACGAAGTTTGAGATGAAGCATTCGCGCTGCTTTCGGACATTGGTAGAAAGGCATTGGTTGGCTTTGAATACGTATGCATTTTTTGGTGTGATGCAATCACGTCGAGTGCAGGTTGTTGATGCTGATGTTAAAGGAACAGGTGTTCGTTGATATATTGTTTGACATCGATTTCTTGATGGTGGACACAAACATTTTTATCCACATTTAGTCTTTTGTCCAATGTGTACTGATTGCTCTAAGAACAGGTTTATAACTCCACCAGGTTTTATAATGGGTTTAAAACGAGGATTGGAATTTCTGAATCCAACAAGTTGATTGTTCGAGTAAACTTGCAGAGTAATGGTTCTGTGAAGGGCACTTGCAATGAACGAAATTCTCATATTAAAAGTTATTGTTATGTACAGAAAACTATGAATAATAAACCTAATAAAAAGATATTAGATCTTTAAATTGCATTTTCTTGTATTATTTAAAGAAGTTTAGTTACCGTACATTGACGTTAATATTTCTGACTGTTAAAACTTTAGTTTAAAATATTATGTTCTACAAAATTTATAATTAATATTGCCTATGTGGAAAGTTGTGTTTAGTCCGCGGGTCACTGATTTTCTTCAGTAATACTTCATTTATAATATAAATAATTAACACCCCGATCGAGAAATTTGAATTTTTCGCAGATTTGCAAGTTTTATTTATCATTCCCATTTTATGTCATAACAACCGTTTAACGAGCAAATTCAAAAAAGTGAGTGGAACCTGTGAGTCAAAATTTAATTTTTGGCCTACGATTTCTCAAAAATGACCGTACTGTTGAACAAACAATTTTGAAGCTATTAGATAAAACTCACTGATTAATTTTACATGACGATCATCTTTATAATTACCATGTAAGTACAAATGTTTTTGCTAACGTTTTCGCTAAAAATCCCGAGTCGATTATAAGGCTCTATAATTAGTATTGATCACCGTAACATACATACTTAATTAAAATACGTTTTAGTAAAATTTTACTGAATAATTAAGCAAATTGCTGGAACTTCCCGTAACAAAAATTATTATTTTTTAAAAACGATTAACATTTTTGAATAAAATTTATTTCGAAAAAATTAGATTTTTGAGAAACTATATATTTGACAAAAAATTACCTTTTAAAAAATTTTTTTTTTTTGAGAAACAAATGTTTTCTTTATTTTGACATATTTTGGAAATTCTGAACTTTTTTTCAAAGCAATCGTATTGCTTTAACTGCATAGAGACGAAATGTCAAAGCGCGTAAGCGCCGTGTCGCCGTCTAACGGATGAACATTGGTACGGAGTCCATAGGAATGTAGACAAAATTTATACTTATTGTTGAAATCTCTATAAAATATCTGATAAATTGATGTGCATATGTTTAATGATCATTTTTGACCGCTAAATGGCATTTTTATTAACTTTTTTCATTAGATCTCCAAAACCGCTAGACCTGCCTTCATGAAAATTTGATCAATTTTTCATCTTGTCGATACAAGTAAAATGTTTTTTGAATTATTAAAATCGAACCCTCCGTTCTCTTACCGTTACCATTTTTGGCACTTTTTGCCCCGTATCTTTGGAACGGGTAGACCTGCCTTTGTCAAAAACTAATCAGTTCGTCTCCTTATCAATACAAATCGAATGTTTTTTGTATTATTCAAATGGGTTGATCGGTGTTCCCGAAATCGTCGACAAAAATTTGTATCCGCACACACACACACATACATCCATTTTTTCTAAGGTATGCTAAAATATTGAAAAACCTTTGAAACGTAAAGATATATACAAATTTTCATTTTCGATTTTTTTGCGATTACTATAACTTACCCTACAGGAACTTAATTAGTACTTAATTAGAATTGAAAATCGGGATGATTAGTTTTTAGTTATTAGCTAATAATTTCAAAAATTGAATATTGACAATAGTTTCAAATTTTATAGTAACAATTACAAAAGTGGCTAAATCAATTTTGATGATTTTATTAATAAAACACCAAATTATTATGCTTTTAAGGCGTTTATTATTTGGGAGTTGTTAATTTGCTAGACATATGTTAGTTAATTTAAATTCTTTCTTATCGATTTTTTATATCTGTTTCATTTGTAGTTAAATCTGTTAAATCTAAATTTAATCACACAATAATCAAAAATACTCTTTTCAAATTTGTTCTCATTCGATTCCGCATGGCTGAAACGTCGAGAAAACAAAATTAACAAACCGGATTTTTTGACGAAAACGTAAACTTCTGCAGGAAGTTCATAATAAATCACAAATCTGAAAAACACTTTGAGTGTAGTTGATCTAGTAGATGGGAGTACAGAACGACGTCAAATAAATCGTGTCTGCCAGCAAAACTTCTAGAAATCTCTGAAACTCTCCACCGCCACCATTCATTCAGTGTCCTAGAGATGCGAATGCGATCGACTATCAGCAGAACGTCGTAAATCGCATCGGCTGGGGCGCACTTGTCTATGTACAGGGACAGTATGAATTTTAATGGGGACTAATGGTACGAATCTGATAATAACGATCCTAGCACGACAGTAGTGTCACGAATACTCTAATGGGAATATCATGAATCAACGGCTCAAGTTAATATTATGATTTAAATGATTTGACTATTTATGGTCAACGAGATGCAATTCTATGGGCTTACGGTGTCTATGTAAGACAACGACTAATTTTTCAAATCTAATAATTATACAATTTTTTATCAGCCATAATTTTTTTTAATTTACCAGATAGTTGGAGGGAAAAGTAAATTAAATGGTAATTTGAACATTTGTCTATGTGGAAATTCTGAAATACTGAAATACTGTCTTTAAGGGGAGAGCCTGCTTTAGCAGCTTAAAAAAATCGCTTTTTGAGGAATTTTTAGGGAACGAAATTAATATTTAATAGAAACGATACTTTAAGATTTTATTGTAATATATTTAAACATTTTTCTCAAATTTTTTCATCAAAATAGATGTCATAATATGCCGGGTACTAGCATTTTGCCGATCGCCACGAGCGTTTAGGTGTGATTTAGCGGAAAAGATGCAGGTCAAAATTTCCTTCCGAAACAAAGAAACCAAAACAAATTTATATTTTCAATAATATATATTCTAGTCAAACCTAAATAATTCAGAAAAAAGTGAAAAAAAAACAGCAATTTAAAAAAAAATCATGTTTTTTGATAAAAATTTCACTTTAGATTTAAAAAGTGGGTTAATTATAACATTTTTCAAGGTTTTTTTTAGGGAATTGGTAGAGAATTCAAACCTGAATACAATCTCGTTTCGATAGGATGTTCAGTTTCTTTCCTATATTTTGCATCAATTAGGTAAAAATAAAAAAACGAAAAATCGCGCGTCGAAGTTTTCGTTCGGCTCGTATACATGCTCGATGCTTGGTCACTATTTCTTCTGTAACTCCAAAAATAATTTGAATTTATTTCTAAATATAGGGATGTATTCTAGGCCAGTTTTGTAAAACATTTTTGCCAAAAAATCGATTTTTT